TTCAGAGATAAAAAAGTCTACATTATTGTCCATTTTTGTACCTGCTAATGAAATTTGTTGGAATCTGATCACTCGTTTCCGGCTTCATCTCGGAAAATGAAACATAAAGACAGACAATTTTGGAAATAGAAATAACCACTAAACAAATAAGGACTTCAAATATATTTATTTTATTTACTTGCATTGATAAATCTTAATATAAAATTTTGGAAAGTATTCCTACTTTTGTTAGCTTGGTTTCACATTTAATGAAAATTTCAATTTTCGGTTGATTCATTGTTTTCGATAATAAAACCGCNAAAATTTCAATTTTCGGTTGATTCATTGTTTTCGATAATAAAACCGCAGGAGTTGAACCCAAAAGCCATAAATCACAAGGAAATGGCGAAGTTAAAATCAAAGTGTGGGAATAAATTTATGTTATGGGGTCCCGAGAGCTTTCAGTCAACTGACAAAAGGTTCAGCGGTGTTTTGGAACGTTTAGTTGGAATTTAGTGCTTTTTCTTTTAGATGGTTAGATGGGTGGACGACGTCATCGCTTATTGTTGAGCATCGCGATGGGTCCGCCCGCGTTAAGTGATTGCTGGGGCCCATAGATTTCAAAAACTTAAATGCTGCCACCCAGTTTGAAACCTGATTTCTAAGTCTCAGCTACATAATATACAGCTGCCCCACCTTTCAAACCGAAATGCATTATTTCTTCACGGCAGAAATAGGCAGGATGGTAGTACCCATGCCGGCTCAAAGAAGCCCGACCACCATTAATAAAAACTATATACCTATATATTATAAGTTAGGAAAGTGTTTATATTTGAAGTACAGAATGCAAAGAAAACCAGATATTGAAGCCGAAAAGAGAAAAATGTATTTAGTTGGAACATGCACGTGGTATTCAACCGTTCTGTATTGTACCTCTGTATATTAGTTATACTTTATATTATTATAGAAAATCAATATAAGTTATTGCTTGTTCTAACTCTGTTTATTGCCTTTTAGGGAGCCTGATAACATATTATTTACTCTCGAGGATGTCTTTGCATCAAAAAAATTGGACGCCTTATCTTATTAGCCATACTGTTATTTTATTTTTAACTAAGCAATGTAGCGTCGAAAGCGAAGTAACAAAAATAAAAAAGAATTTTGTGATCGCCACAAATACTGATATCAAAAATCTTACACACTCCGTATTGGAAATACAAATAAAAACATGTATGTAAGTCTCGAAATGTGGACTCCAAAACACCCTCCTCGGGCGGTAACAGAGATATTACGTGGTATTGCGAAGTCGTCCGAAATCGTCGTGGCTTAAAGTTGGCCGGCCGTCTGGTGTAGTGGTAAGTGACATGGTCACTACACACGGGGGTCGCGGGTTCGAATCCCGCCAAGAGAAGATATTTGTATGATAAACATAAAATGTCTTTTCCAGGGTTATGGATGTTTATTAAATATATGTATGTGTATAATAAAAATCTTACATTTGTTTCCGTTATCTGGTACCTGTAATACAAGTTCTTTACGAACTTAGCACGGGACCAGTTAACGTGGCGTGATTGTTAGTAAATATTTATTTATTAATAAAGAATCGGAGCAAAATTTTTTTTTAAAGAATAAGACACCCAGTGCGGCGTAGTTACTGGTTGCTGAGTCCGCACGGGTAGGTACGACCACCATGCCTATTTCTACCGTGAAGCAGTAATGCGTTTCGGCTTGAAAGGTTAGGGCAGCCGTTGTAGTGTTAATGAGGAGGCAGTCTCCTCCCGGTGATGGTCACGGGGCGACCTAAGGGGGCTGAGACTGCGCCGCACGCTACCGTCACTCTAGCGCGCGGGCACCAGGAGGACGGGACGACGCGTCGGCGGCTGCGGACTGCGATGCGGTCCGCATTTTCGTCGTTGCTGTCGTCGCCGAACATACTGTGGAAGAGCAACCCGGTCGGCGGTGTATCGCGTTCCGACCCGGCAGGCTGGTTCTGGCCCAACGGGGTATCCCGGAACACCAGCGGCATCGCCCGGGCGGCCTGAAGGGCCGCCGTACCGCGTAAATGCGCCACGCACCTTGAGATATTAGTTCTAAGATCTCAGTATAGTTACAACGGCTGCCCTACCCTTCAGACCGAAACGCATTACTGCTTCATGGCAGAAATAGGCAGGGCGGTGGTACCTACCCGTGCGGACTCAAAAGAGGTCCTACCACCAGTAGGCATTTACGACGTATGTCTCCGGAAACCACATAACACGTGGTAGGACGTGAAAATAAAAATAAAAATCCTACGATAAAATTATTTCCTTAAAATACCTTCTTCGCAGTGAAAGTACAAACTTGGAGCATCAAAAAATCAAAAAATAAAAATCAAAATCAAAACTGACAAAGAAGAATTCCTAATAAAACAGTTTCATTTCACTAGGTTCAAACTTGATGATTTTAATAATTATAAATATTATTATAAACTGACGAAAACGAATTCAGGTTTTTTTGTGTTTTTTTTTTTAAATAAACACACCCAATCTTTCGATTTATTGACAAGTTTCTAATCGACATAATTTATTGAAAAGTTCAAATAAAAAAACACAGTATTTCAATTCGAATTGAAAATTTCCTTGTACTCGTCTTGAAGATAGATTGCTTGGAACGTCTATTCCCTATCTTATTTGCACGGGATTAATTTCAGAATTCAAAGCAAGGTTGTTAATCTCGCGGGAGAGTATTCCACTATATTCCAATTTTATTATTTTAGTTATTGTCATGACTTTCATTTTTAAACTTTGAAATAAATTACAATTTTGTTGTTGTACAAACTAAAATTTATAATCAGATTTGAGTCACAAATGACTATAGTTTATTGCCTTATATCCATAGCCTGCGTACCATTTCGTTGGGTGAGGTACTTGTATCATAAATTGAAACTTCAATCTCGTATTTTTATGGGTACTGCGACATGTTATTTTTAACAACCCTTTACCCTTTAATAGGCCTTGGTCGAGGCTACTTATTTTGAGCAAAAAAAAAGTAATCTTGGTTAAAATAGATATGTACTTTATTATTAACATTCAAAACTATATTTGAGAGACATCTTCTAATTAATTGAGTAGAAGTGTAGCGTATAAAAAAAAATCTGAGTCTGAAAATAGCAATTCCAGCCACGGTTACGGTTTTAATCTCGGGAAATTATTGTTGTTATATAATTTTCAACCTTTCGGATAATTTTCAGTACATAACAGTTTTCGCGGTCACGGACGCCTAAGGCTATAATTAAATAAGGTAACATTCCCTAACCTAAGAATATTGTTCTAATACTGTCTAATTAAATTAAGAATGAATTAAGAATTAATTTTGTCTTTATTCTCAACGAGGCCGTTATTTATATTCATTGTAGTTAATTAATGTGAGCTATGAAACGGGAAGGTTGAGTAATTTTAAATGTATTTCAAAATCAGGTTCCTGTAAATTTCGTGTCATGTGACATGAAAATTTTCTAAACAATTTTAGAACTTTCTCACACATATTTCTCAGGACGATCATAGATCTATCAAAACAAAGCAGCTTGCGCGACTAAAATTTTATTAATGTACCCATAATAATAAAATACTAGAGGTCCCGCAGTAGTCGAAATTCGACTATAATTAATTGGAGTTGTAAGTTTGTACACTATTATGATTGTATTTTATACTTCTATAATCACAAATTTCGCCAAGACTACACTATAAAAATATTAACAAAAACAAACAATATTTAATCTCAATTTGACAACAGACGTCAACAACAAAAGTTTGACAATAAATAGTATGCATGCGTGTGTGCGACAAACCATGGTACGTAGTGTGTGTAATGTTTTCTTTATTGATTTAATGTATCTTTTATGCATTATTTAAAAAAAATATTAGCATTATGCACTTCTTCTCTGTATTCTCTATAAGTGTGGAAAAATTATACTCCTCCGTCCGCGAAATTTTCGTAAAAAGGGATACAAAGTTTTTGCTTCACGTATTAATATATAAATAACAATTCCAAAGATTAAACTAGTTTAGAATAAATTATCTATAATCTCAATCCTTCACATCAAAGAATATCGAAAACAATGTCTTTAATGACATTTACCGATATACATAGACATTCAAAATTCAAATGCTTTTGTATCAAAAGGTAAAAAGAAAAATATGTAACCGCAGTAGATTGCAGACTCACATGCATAGAGTTGACTGTATCACTATACGTAGGAAATACTGGTGGTAGGACTTATTGTGAGTCCGCATGGGTAGATACCACCACCCTGCTTAATTCTACCGTGAAGCAGTAATGCTTTTCCGTTTGAAGGGTGGGGCAGCCGTTGTATTGTTATAAGTGAGACTTTACAACTCATATCTCAAGGTGGGTGGTGGCATTTACGTTGTTGATGTCTATAGGCTCCGGTAACCACTTAACATCAGGTGGGTCCGTGAGATCGTCCACCCATCTAAGCAATAATAAACAAATTATAAAAAATATCTCCCGTAATTGCATTAGATACTCGAAATGCAGAAATATATAAACTAGTTTTTTTATTTATTTATTAAATACTAGTGGTCTCACAGAAGTCAAAATTTCACTATAATAATTATTAACTAGATTATAAGTTTGAACATTATTAAGGTTCTATTGTCAAAAACTTTACTTCTTTAATCACATATTTCGCCAAGGTTACTCTATAGGCAAATAATATTAAATACCAACAATGTTAATCTATTCTCGATTAGACCACAGACTTTAACAATAAGCAAAAGAGTATATATGCGTGTGTGTATGTCAAATACATAGTAGTGTGTGTAATGTTTAATTTATTTATTTAATGTATTTTTATGCATAATTTTAAAAAGATTTTAGCGTTCTGCACTCCTACTCTATATTCTCCATAAGTGTGGGAAATTTCATGCTCCTCCGTCCGCGAAATTTTCGTAAAAAGGGGTACAAAGTTTTTCAATCACGTATTAATATATAGATTAGTAAAATTATCAAAGTATACTCACGTGTGCAATGTCTCGGTTCATCTGAAGAGTCCCCGCAGTCGTTGCTGCCGTCACAGAAACGGTTTATCGGTATGCATTTCTTGTTAACGCACAGATACTCCGATATCTTACATCTCGTATCGTTTCCGTGTAGGACCGGCAGTGATTCTGGTGCGGGTATATCGTTAGATATCGGTCTATCTTTCAAAAACGACTTCGCGTCTTTCACTGATTTATCTGGTGCGATGTCACCATCCGTCAGTTGAATTATAAAGTTGATAATGATCGCAATTTTCGTGTTGACACCTAGAACAAAAGAGTTCACTGTTAGAATCATATAGTAGCTATGAATACAATGGTGCTGGGTTCTTCTGACAAGTTTATTTAAATTATTTCGGACGTTCTTTCGATGATTATCTATGATATAACCCTAGTTCATTCGACAAAAATCTGAAGAACAGTCATGATTGAATCTTGAGTTTGTGTTGCCCATGGATAGTCGGGAGTCAGAGATAAATCGAATACTATCTCCATTATTATACACCAGGGAGCGAGATATTTTTAGAATCGATTGTAGTAATTGCGATTTTTAGATTGTTTGAACATATTTAACTCGCTCATCGCTAAGCTTGTCATACCAAGCACATTATAAGTAAAGGTTTAGATTATCAAAGGAGTTTTCATTGATACCACCCGTGTGGCTTTTTTTATATTGGACTCCTTAATAGCAGATAAGTAGTAAACTCTGAATAATATGAAGAAAATGAATTAATTAGTTGCAAATAGGTGATGGTCGATCGTAGACGGAATTCTAAGGTTTTCTAAATTCAATTGGTTTTGATACTCAAACATCCAGAACTCCAGCATAGAAATCAGTTCCAATAATGAAACATACATAAAACTACACACATTATATTCATCAATTTTAAAAAAAATCCTGAATATTTATCAGTATTTTAATCAATGCACAGATAAATTAATAGGAAATGAATTACTATCTTTTTAGAAAAAAAGGAAAAACAAGGAAATTTGCTACTTTTAAGTAATAATTGTATTAAATTGAGTAAACACCAAACCATCAAATTGTTAGTTATAAAATAAGAACGAAATAGTATATCAAAATAAAACTTCGATCACATCTGTCTTTTGAAAATCGTATTTAATGGTTAGTACAGCTACCAACCACTATTTGAAAGGTTTTCACGGCGCCTTCAAGTGTGCGTTTTCAAGGCGGTTAACAAAAGTAAATCATTCAATGTATGCACAGTACACACAGCAAGCCGCATGTTACGCAGAAAGCCGTTGATTTTCACGGAAATATGTATTTTTTTTATTGCCCTCAATGTGTTTATATTAGGTGTAATAAAAGCTTTAGCAAACACCCGAGCAGGCACGTGTGGTTACACTAGTTCAGTGATTCTCAACCACTGTTCCGCGGCACTTTTGTGTGCCGCCAAATTTCAAAAGTGTGCCGCCAAATTTTGCGAATATATAATAATGTTAATATTATTAAATTATATCATTTTAAAAGAAAAATATTTTAAACATGAATATATTTATTTAAATCCACAAAAAAAAAAAAATTATAGTATATTTTAGTTTATTTCGTATACTAAAATTTTTTGATAAACAATATAATAATAATAATAATAATATTTATTCAAGCCTCTTAAAATGCAAACACGTACAAGAATTCTTAACACTAGTATAATAATATACATGGCTTTTCTATGAGGTATACAATAAGAAAATTCCCTGACTTTTATGCTAGGAAAACCTGTGTTACAAAAGTCAGTGGGTTGCAGTGCAGTGTATATAGTGTAGTGCAGTATATATGCAGTGTGTTGTAGTATGTAAATAAATTTTATCTTTTTTTTTGTGTGTGCCGCCAAATTTTGAAATCGTTAAATATGTGCCGCAACAAAAAAAGGTTGAGAATCACTGCACTAGTTGATTAGGAACGTCGGTAAACACGCAGCCAGCCCGATCCTGTTTACTTTTAATTTCGTTTTGTTTAAACGGATATCAATCATGTTTGTTGTTATCGTTTCTTTCACTGATTTCTTTAGTACTAAGTTCACCTAGAGCTCAATTTGAATTCTAATTAGAGAGTTTAAGATTAGTTGAAATTCATAATATCTAAGTGCAGTATTGTTATTTTCTCGAAAGTCGTAAACAAAATGTTTACGATTTACTTTCATTTCTGTTTGATACATTTTACAATGTGCGACAACCCTACTAGGATGTCAACTGTTCGTTTTCGACAAATAACATCTATGCAGAAACGATGTTAAAACTATCAAAGGTAATTTTAGTTAAAACAATATTTTCGGTACAAAAAGTTTGGCAATCGACTGAATTTCTTCGAATCCATAGATTATGAACCGGGTGTGAAAGAATCAAACATAATTTTGAATTTCTACTTTATTTTTTGGTAATAAAGAGTTCCACAGAAATAGACTGGACGATCATGGCTCAGACGTCTAAAGGACTTTTTTTTAATCTCCATTTATAGCTTTACAGACGTTGCTTTTGTATTAAGTCCATTCACATCGGTTCAATTCAAAACGAAGCAGGGCGTGAAAAGCCGTCATCCGAGCAGCAAAGCAGGAACGATGACAATCCCATTCTAAAATACACTCCATTCAAAAGAAATCCTCATCGGGAAAAAGCCCGCTACGTCTTGAAAGAAAAGAACTGCATTAATTTTTAACAACAATACTTTTTTTACCTACAAACATCTTAATTAAAGATCTTAATTAATTTTAAAAATTAAAGAATAAAAAAAGTTTGTGGTAATGATTCTTCATATTACATAATATCTTCGCTTTCACCTATTTATATTATAATACGTAGCGTAATAAATGCTAAAATAGAGAAACCGTACTGCCTCTAAAAATGAAACTTCGCCTGTCGCGATGTAAAAAATACAAAACCCAACGTCTATTTGTGAATCTAAAATCGATTACCTGACTACACCATGTAGTTTGTACAACCTAATGCAGCAGACGTACTAAAATGACTAGACAATTATTTACAAGGTTTGTGAAAACGGAAAAAAAATAACGATTTGTCACTATTGTTGTTCCCGTGACAGTCATTAGGCGCAAATTTGTTGTCGTGTTCAGAGTTCGGCTGATAAGAAACTTTTATGCAAGGAAGCGAAGGAGGCTTTGAATTTATTTTTAGTATGAAACATTAAGGTGCGGGGGTGGCAATCGCTTCGTTTGATTTGGACCATATTAGTTAATTTTAACAAAATATTTGAACTTTTTTTAATGCTAAATCCTTGTTAGACCATCACCGGAATAATTCATGGTCAATTAAAAAAGTACTATTTGAAGATTTAATTGTGAACCAAATTTTTCCACGGGTTCGACGAGGACGGTGACCGGTGCTTGAGGTTTGAGGTAAGTCAACATTTGTTAAGTACGTATTTCATTTTAAAAATTGGTACCTGCCGACCGGGATTCGAACACGTTGCATCGCTAGATACGAATGCACCGGACGTCTTATGCTCTAGGCCACGACGACTTCCAGAACGTTTCGTGCAGCAATAGATATAACATTCTGCCCGTGGATATTTCATTATTTTCTTTATCGCATAGACAGATTAGTAAACGAACTCACAGCCCACCTGATTATTGGTGGTTATGCAAGACATCAGTGCAAATACCACTGCTCAACTTGAGTCAGGCGACCAGTAAAGATATTAAATTAATAAGGTAATTAAAATATAACAATATATATTTGCCTGATACCCTGAAAGCTATAAGGCACTGTAGGAATAAGAAGATAAAATGTTTTATATTGTTCCGTAAACTAAAATTCTACACATATAACGGTTGACTCGGTGCAAATATAAAGATACCTAAATAGCTTCAATTAAACGACGTGAGTCAATTTATTGTTTTTTTTTTTACCACAAGCATTCCAATACTCAAGAGCAATAAAACCCGCAAAAGAGGACGGCCCATTTTAGGCCCAAAGCGGACAATAGATTAGAGAAAAAATACTTAGTGCATTAATTTTGTCATAAATAAATATGCATTTACTTTCTTCCAAATAAGCGCCACTACAGTTTACAATAAGTAGTTTAAAAAAAGTAACTCTGTTGAAAAAATTAAGATTTTTATTTTTGCGGGAAAAATATTGCCAGCATCAAAACCTTTTACGTATTAAGTAAACATTTTAAGTATATAAAAAAAACATATAAATAAATCATTTTAAGTATTATCATTAATCAATCGGTTTTAATCGATTTTAAGCACATAAAATAACATCAAAGACATACCCATTGGACTTTAACTTGTTACTATACTTGAGACCTTAGAACTTATATCTCAAGGTGGGTGGCGCATTTACGTTGTATATGTTTGTGGGCTCCAGTAACCACTTAACACCAGGGTGGCTGTGAGATCGTCCACCCATCTAAGCAATAAAAAAAAACTTAACTTGTTTTGTTGTACATATTTAAATATGTACAACAAAACCAAAAACATAAAAAATAAACAATAATGTGTACTCGTAAAAAAAAGATTAAGAAATAAATCAATTATCCGTTATTTAAAAAAATGATCGATATATGAATTTCATGTAATTATTTTTCTTTATACTGACAACACTGATTTTAATCTGACTGACTGACACTTCGCTTGCTGCTTGTGCTTGCGTTCAAAATGGATGTGTTTTGATTTTTCTTCGATTTATTTTGCTTTTATCAATAACGTTTCATACTACGGCTGAAAACCATTGTGTGAATTGTGGTTTTAACCTGACCGAGATTTAAAACCGTGTATATGCTCTCCTGTGCTATTTTTAGATGATTTACTAATTGTGTATGAAGATGAAGAAAATATAGAATAATATAGATATTTAAAGAAGTATGTGTGTTTTTTATACCCTAATAACTACAATTGGATAAAAATACATTAGGAACATCTTAAACATTAAAAAAAGAAAAGTTCTTGAGGTATTTATATAGAAAATTAACCTCAAAACGAGTTTTTTATTTTTATTATATTTTTTATAATAGTGGCGTCAATTTCAATATATTTTTTAGATATCTAATACATTTAAGAATTTGAATCAGTCCATTTTTATAGTAATATTTGATGTCCACCTTGGGCCTAGCACACTATGGAGAGTGGGCATTCCCCAAATTTGTATCACGTAATTATGACACAATTTTTTTTTCACGGTGGACTTACGCTGTGTATTGTGGATACAGGCTCCGATAACTACTTAACACCAGGTGGGCCGTGATCACGTTCACCGGTCTAAGCAACGAAAAAAGTGTTACAATA